CTGGAAGCGTCTCGGTTTGGCTCACCAATAATCTGACCACCTTACATGCACTGTACCTAACACGTGCGTCGCCACCGCTGAATCTCATAGTAGAGCATTATACTTAGACGTCGCCGTGACATGCGCCTCAGGTGTTCCAGCAGTATTGTGTGCAGTTCGCTCGCGATATCTCCTATACACACATATTCATAGTTATTGCGAATACATTTGTGAACACAATTAGTCATCTTATCTACGAAAAGTGTGTCTTTCAGATACACCATTGTTGAACAGATCCCGAGTTTTATTCCTTGGTTAGTGCCGCCGGAAAGCGAAAGGAAGTTCCTTCTACCTATAATATTCTTATCGTCCAAATCCATTCCGCTGTATAATCTCAATAAGGTTTTAGCACATTGTGAAACGTGTCTTTCACTACCGGTTTCGTGTGTCCACTATTCAGCAATTACCTTACAGTTTACTTGCAAGCGGCTTTCCCAAATTCTTTCTCTGTGCACATGGCCTTATCTGTGAAACACAGAGATCGGAATTGTAGTGCTGTGTCCCATCTATGTCCGTCGGTTGACGAAATATCGGTTCGGAAGCTAATCATTCTTGCAAACTGAGCAGTCAAGGAATGGCGATGTGCCACTCTATGGTGAGCGATTTCAGATTCCTCACAAACGTACTTTTCTTATCCACTTTTATGTTCAAGATGTGCCATCTACTTGATCCCGACAACTTGTGGCCATTTACTGGAGTTTGCCAGTACTATGTACAACATAGTGGACATTGACGATCTAAGGATAACATCATGTTCTTGAGCGCCTATTTCCGACTGAAACCCGAGCTAGAACAACATACCGCACAATGTCTTACTCTCGGTTGTTTCAACCAACTTAATTTTCGGTCACTCCCTAGGTTAATCTTTTCAGTCAAACAGCGTTTTACCATACCCAGTGCGTCTCGTTTCGGCATTTTGGTGAGGAGTGCGCTAACGTTAACATAGATCATTGTTTCATCTTCGTTTCACACGAACTCTTGACGGTTCTTTACAAACGTGTTTCTTCACTCTGTCAACGACTACATTATACTAACGATTGCATGTAGACCAGTAAATGCGAACTTTTGCCAACCCGGTAACCTTATCACAATTAACGCGGTATTCTTCCGCAAAGCTCGGTGCAGTACATCATGCATTGCTGTGCGGATGCTGATGCTAACCTCATCATTAAGGTCGATCAACTGCAGTTAACAGGTAATTCGGCCACACCCACCGATACCAAACGCATTTTTTCATGATAGCGCGTATTGAGGCGCCGCACGCATTAATTATTTCACCTAGGCACTATTAAGCACACTCGATCACACATAGACACCGCTAAGTCTAGGTCACACCACATGAAGTTAACGAACCTGCCTGGTAGCATGCATGCAGCTAGTTTCAGTGAAAGCAATCGATTCTGTCCATTGTAGAGTACATTTCATGTCCGGTCGTCTGCGCGTAACAGTGAACACTATGAACGCGGATGGCCGCCCACTTCTGTGTTGTCTGTCTTGATGCCGCATAAGTGGGTGGGTGAGAGTTACAATACTTCCTCAACCGTCCATAGATGCCGCGTGCTAGTCCGCACCTATCCTACAGTGAATGGGCTCATGTGTTGTTTTCACGTCCGCATGTGCATCACGTTGTTTGTTTGGTTTGCGCAGTCTAACTGCCGCACTAACCGATGCAGATGTTCTGAGTATTCTTGTACCGATTTGCAATCGGTCAAGACGATGGGCACGCATTTGTGCGTGTGCGCCATTTGGATTCAACTTGATGTGCTTATGAATTGAATTGGATATTCTTAGGGAGGAGCTTGATTCCTTTATGGATTTTCTTGAGTCGTAAAAGTTATAGTTGCTTATTCACGATGTTCGTTACGGTCCCCCGTTTCTCAGTGGCCGCATCTCAAGTGATTACAATCGGGTTGCGGGTTCGAGTCCTACCAGGTTCCGATGGAATGCGCACTGCTGACGAGTCCCGAAAGGATGAGACGCGTGTACTTTGCTTTTGCGTGCGTGTGACGGCTGTCTGAGGGAGTCTATATGTGACGAATTTCTACCTATACCATTCAACTGCCCCTACTACTCCTCCTGACTTTGCCGTGGTAGCAGGCAGATAACAGCTGACAAGGTGTCATGAATATGGGTGTTTTCATTTTCGTCAATATGCCATTTTAACTGCGCTTGCTGGATGATGCCATATATTCACACGTCTGTAGTGCGCACTTGAAAATATGCAAAGAAATTGTTCCGGAATTAAATCGTGCGGTACTCTTGTGTTATCTTTTCTGCTAAAACTTCCTCGGGAACTTATTTCTTATATTATCATTATTATTATTTCGATATCTCTACCAACTATCCAACGGGACTTGTAAAGCAAAGCTTCATAATCCGTATTAATTCCCCGTTATTTGTTCACGATTACTGCCATAATTGTGTTGCAGAAATTGTTTTCATTGTGAAGCTGCAGTTCTCCCGAAATCAATAACATTCGGCCTATGGTGCTGAAAGTAGAAACAGCGACGGTAGGCGGACCATTGTCACTTTTCGTTTAAGTCTGCTCGTATAAAAACTCATGCTTACTATGTGGAAAGTTTGTGTAATCAAGATAATTTTTAAATGCGGTAGTCTTTTGCTACCGGCAAACTCTCGCGCCGTGGTTCTGCAGCCTGGACTCACAAAGGTGATGGATGCAATCATCGCTGAGGATTTTGTCGATCACAGCGAAAAAGAAAGCATCATAGCACTGAAGGAGAACGGTTACCGTCAAAGTCACTTTTTCACAACTAACCTGCTGATTGCACCCACAGAAGCGGCCGCCAAAGGTAGAGGGACCCACGTCACTTATTTCTGCTTCTTCCAAACCTTCTACCATCTGGACGGCCGCATTCAGCCTACCAGGCTCGAAAGCTATGGATTTGTGTGTGCAATCCTTGGATAGGACAGAAACATTTGCAGAATCGGCAACTGCAGAATAGAGTTTGGAGTACGTTTTAACATCCGATTTATGTCCAGTGTGATGTTCCACAGGGACCAATGCTGGGGCTGCGTCTGTTTCTTGTGTTCGGTGTTGAGCCTCCGCCTCTGATTGCTTCGGATATGTTTTTCAAGGCTGACATTAAGATTGTGCAGTGTGTCGCCGACCAATAAGATAATGATGCACGTTAACTAGACATGGACAGGTAGTATAGATTGTCATTCCACAATAATCTGCTCTAGGTTAATTCGTCTAAATGTGTAAGAAATAGTCCACATTTGTCACCGTCCGAACAACCAACACATGCTTGAAGCAGATGGCTGACAAGCAGTCACTCAGGAGCGCGACCATGGGGTATAAATCCAGGATGACTTGGACTAATCAAAACAATCTGAAAAGGCGTCAAAGACTGGGAACCAACCTGTCTATGTTGCGGAGGGCTTTCGGGCGGTTTGATCTATCATTTTATAAGCAGACGCTCACCACTCACGTGCGGTCCCATGCGGAATACGCAATCCAAGTCAGGCAGCCATGGCACCAGCAAGATCCCGCAGGGCTTGAGATGCCACAGCAAACATTCACCAGTCTTGTCAAAGGGTTGCTTCACAGTATATATCAACTTAGGCTGAGGAACCTAAACTGGAACAGTGGCTATTGTCGGCGTCTACACGGCAACCTTATTATGGCCTAGCAACTTCTGTGGAGCCCCAACCACCTCTGCAGTAAACTCTCGCAATTAAGTCACAACAAGAAGTTGAGGAACCACTAGTTTAATTTGGCCACGCAACAAACTCGACTAGAATGTCTGTGAAAGGTTTAGTCTCTTCGTGTGTATCATCCATTGAACGACTTCTCAAGTTACGTTGTTACCGCCCGCACTTTTTCCGCTCGTAGAAACGCCTTGACGTTATCATAATCCACCTACATTAGGAGATATCCTAGGCATATAGACGGACGATATAATGGGATAACCTGCAATAACCTGCCCAATCGAAGTGGGATATTTTGTCTATGCCTCTGTGTGAACAATGTAAATCCACCAAAACGCGTCTCTATTTATTTTTATGGTTTCTTTCTCCAATTCGCGTTTCTCATTCTGGCCCTCCGGAGAGACTTGTTAATTATTTGCCTAACTACCCAACACACACCATTTTCCTATTGAAGTGACCTATGAAACAAATTAGAATAGCCATGTAGATCGACTGGCGCCATGTGTGAATGGTAAACATTGTCATAAATTCGTACTTACGACCAATGACGTACGATGAAAGGACTGCGGAATTTTATTTTCGCTGCCTAAAATTGGTCTAAATGTTGAGACCCTGAGGGCCAGAACGTCTACGCAGATGCACATTAATCAACTATTAATTTATCTGTGTACTCCACCTATCACCAATGCATACATGCATCGTATAATTTAATGTCGTTTTGTCACATGACAACAAGTAATGTTGACCAGTCAATAGTGGTGATTGGTGCACAAGAGGAGATTACGGTGCACAGCTACTATTTCAATGTGGACTAGCTCTGATGCCTTGAGTAAATTGTAATTGCGTCAGGTTAGCTGGTGTTCAACTCAGCAATCACCAAAATATGCTTCGGGATGTTTTACTACTGATTTCGATTGCTCATTAGCTATCTGTTTTCAACTCTTGTCCTATCCAACTCTTTAGTGAGTGCACCTCAAAATGGATCCAGGGTAGTAATTATGTGTTAGAAGAAGGAAAATGTGGTAGACAATAGAAGCAAAGTATAGGTAGCATAGCTACAAATAAACGGTTCACTGTCATTCCCTTCCAGTAGATATACCACTACGGTCGAGGTGAAAACAACACGTAAGAGCTGAAAATGAAACGAGCCATGATGTAACCTATCCAGACACTTTAACTTATCCGTTGGAAATGGCGGTAGAAAGCAATGGATTTGCATAGACCTGTAGAATTGTGAGACGAGCCGGTGCATCCAAATTGCCAGTTCATGTCCATCTTTTTGGTTTCAGGTTCAAATCATCCGCGGCGCATAAACCCGCATGTCTACCAGAAATACCAACAATGGATGACGGAACTGTACGTAGTGAACCCTGCTTGAGTGGCTCCCAAATTTCGATCTCCAAACGTGAACAATGGAAGAGCCGCTTTGACTTTCTTTTCGCCTGTGTTGGTCTATCTGTCGGTTTGGGCAATGTGTGGCGATTCCCCTACCTTTGCTATAAAAACGGAGGTGGTAAGTGTCAACCATTGTCTTTCTAAACAATTCGCGATTTGGGAACAAATTGATATTTCTCACTAAGAGATCTCATGTGTGGTCTGGCACAGTCACCATGCTCACAATGCAACATTCGCTTCAGAAACTTGGTTGCATCTGCCAGTATTTCTGTCATTTTGCTCAAGTAGCCCACCATCATCATGAAAACAACGCCCGTACCCTTAACTGCTAACCAGAAGGTTAAGAGCTTCAAAGTGTTCTTGTTTTCTCGTAGTGATATATACTATCCTCGCACATCGATACTGGTAACATGCATGTTCGAGAAACGATTTAAACTCTTCTACATGTATTTCAGCACAATGTATCAGTTGAAAGGTCTGTGTACACACGTTTTCAAACTGGTTCTCTAGTGCTAGTCGATTATCCTTCCTCGCAGGAATACGGTATTAACAGCGTAATCATAAAACATCCATTGTAACATTATCAAGCGTCAGGCATGACAAGCTCTGAACATACCTATATGCTTCCACCGGAAAAGATGTTGACGGCTACTTACTTTTTAGCGTGTATGTGAGCTGATGGCGCAATCTGGATCCTTGTTGTGTGATTATTTCCTTAAGTGTTTTCTCCAGCTCTGATCGGTCTCTTGTTGAGAGACTGTCCATTGCGCTACACGACTGACGCATGGCGGGTTTGAGCTCGTCCCTCTAGCTACAAGTGTCACCTATCTGGTTCAATGCTAGGCACTTCACGCGATTGCTATTCAGTCTGATGTATGAGTGACGAAGAAATTCTCAGAAATTCGTCCGGTAAATTTTGCTTTCTGTGCACTTAGCTAGAAAATCAAAAATTTTTCCGCCTTCGCTATCCTGGTTCTGATGCCCAAATATCTTTTGCGCGATTTTAACACAGGAAGATCTAAGCGGTACTGCACAGATTTAAAAGTCCCATAATATGATCAGAAGTCAGGGTAAGGGAACATAAGTTTTCGATAATCCATCTGCTTGCTTATACAATTATCTGCAAATCAAAATATGCAGACAGATGTTACAAGTCTTTACCCTTAGGGCGGGTTTATTGCATGCTGACAGTGTCTGCTAAGTCAGGCCAACCTGCCGCGTGTGACCTCGCTGGTTAGAGACCACCGGCCGTTTGGGACAGAGTAGTCCAAAGCCCTTAGCTAACTTCTTCTTAACACATAGCTCCGGTTCATACAGCCGGATCGTAATTGCTTCAACGGCTTCTAGTAGCCGCTTGCGAACGTAGTTCGATCGGTTCTTTGGGGCCTGATAGATAATTTTGAACAAGTCAGAAATTTGTGGCATGCCCTGTATCGGCTAAATGCTCGGCTATTGAAGAGTTGGCTGTTTTTCCGCCTCCAGTTCTAAGCCCCACCGGGAGTTGTTCCTTCGTTTTCTTAGTTGGATCCCTTGTCTTACAACCAATGTATTCCGCTGTACAGTAGCATGAAAGTGAATACATATACAAATTGATTTGGCGTGGACAGCCCTCTTATTCTTTGATTATAGTCTCCCCATCGGAATGCTAGCGAACTGGATTAGCATCTGCGTGGCTGGATAGGTGCGACTGAGTGCAAAAGAAAGACGAGATAGACGTTCCACCGCAACCTCGCCCTTGTGTGGCAAGTGTAAGAATATTTGATTGCGTTTCACTAACAAAACTACAGGCTATTTCTTCTTATGTTCCATGTTAGCTACGATGAAGGTTTTCGGAAGGACATTCTCCTTTAGCACCAAGTTAATACACTCCAATTCCTTTGAAAGCGTGTCGTTTGCATAGGTACGTTTAGCTCGGCTCACTAGGATATTTATCAACTTCCTTTTGAACCTAAGTGGCACAAATCTGTGGACGTTTGTGTAGTGTCTATTCCACGTATTTTTTCTATAGACGCAACGGTGCAGCGCACCCACACCAAGCCTTCCATAGCGACAACCAGGAAATGAAAGCGACTGATTTTCGCCACCGCAGGTGAACTTTATTGCCCGATGGCATTAGTTGAACGTGTCTGTTGGTTCCCCGTTACTTCCAGAAGACTAAAGCAAGACAAAATATCGTCTACGTAAAGGCAATAAAAACCGACACTTGTGATCGTTTGCTTTAGCCTTCCTTGTTCCAGGACGCCCATGAAGATATCGGCGAAAAACGGACACAGTGGGTAACCCATCGCAACTTCATTGCACCGACGGTATAACGCGGCATGGGATAGCAATTGAAGAGCAAGAATGCATCTGAACAACATTTCAATTAGGATCCTCGGCGTTGCCAAATTTAATGTGCTTTCCATCAACATATATATGGAGTTTATAATCTCTACTAATTGCAAAGAATGCAAGGTTTACCCGACGAATTTCTGAAAATTTCTTCGTCACTCATACATCAGACTGAATAGCAATCGCTTGAAGTGCCTAGCATTGAACCAGATAGGTGACACCCGTAGCTAGAGGGACGAGCTCAAACGCGCCATGCGTCAGTCGTGTAGCGCAATGGACAGTCTCTCAACAAGAGACCGATCAGAGCTGGAGAAAACACTTAAGGAAATAATCACACAACAAGGATCCAGATTGCGCCATCAGCTCACATACTCGCTAAAAACTAAGTAGCCGTCAACATCTTTTCCGGTGGAAGCATATAGGTATGTTCAGAGCTTGTCATGCCTGACGCTTGATCGTGTTACAATGGATGTTTTATGATTACGCTGTTAATACCGTATTCCTGCGAGGAAGGATAATCGACTAGCACTAGAGAGCCAGTTTGAAAACGTGTGCACACAGACCTTTCAACTGTTACATTATTCTGAAATGCATGTAGAGTAGTTTACATCGTTCTATACAATATCTCGGCCAAGTTTTCCACTTGGAAACAGAATTTATCTGAACGGCTAAAGAGTTGCGCTGAGAGACATAGAAGATGAGTCTTTACTCAAGTACTTTGAGCCTTGCGTGCGCCACTGACTTGTGCAGATGTGTATGAAGCGACTTCCACTAAATAAAACGAGAGTAGGGATTTGAATGACGAATGGGTTGGTATAACGAGACACAGCCAAATAAGTTTGCCGTATGCTTTTGAATGTGCAGTTCACCTAAACGCAATGGTTGGCTGGTATGTTCGGCACTCGAGGGAGGTGAAGAACGTCATACTAAAAGCGTACGAGGAAGGCGACCATTGGAAGCAGGTCGCTAGCATACTGAAGAGGAAAGTGCAAACTTGCCGCAATTGGATACAGACGCACAAATCGACGGAACCGGTGGGACAGCGCGGGGTAGTCCTTCGCAGAGCACTGGGAGAAAGCTGCGTCGCCGCTCTGGTGGAGTGGGTTTCTGCGGAGCCGACCGTTACCCTTGAACTCCTTCGTTTGCGGTTGAAGGCGCAAATGGAACTTTCAGTAAGTACCAGCACCGTCTCACGAAATTTGGATGGTAGACTGATGACAATGAAGAAATTGCACACGATTTCGGAATCGATGAACACGCTGGAGAACAAAAAGCGACGCAGGTCATTCATTTTGCAGCCCATGGATTGCGAGGTGGAAGGAAGGCAACCGGTGTAGATTTATGAGACTAAGTTCCATTTGTTTTTCTGCCGCACTCGCGGCCGCTTTCGACGTGGTAGTCGAGCGCGGTGTACAGTGGCGAATAGCCGGGGACCGCATGTTCATCTTGTCGGCGCCATGACAAACAACGGATAACGTTTTCGGTTCTGAGAGGAAGTTACAACAAGCAACGGCGTGCTCATCGGCTAGGGCAAGTGCTTGTACCAACGGAGTGGGGTTTGTAGAAAGGTGTCTTTTGATTTGTGACAATGCGCCCTGTCACACGCACTTGGAGCACGTTTTCTTGGAGGAACTGTACCGCTCTGGGAGACTTCTTTGCCTTGCGTCATACTCTCCAGCTCTCAATCCAATCGAGGGCATCTGGGCATACTTGAGGCTCATGTAAAACTGGCAATGAGGCGACGGTACTCCGAGATGCTCCTGGGGGATTCTGAAGGCGTTATGGATAAAATCGAGTGGCGGATTCGCTTTTTGGAGCACGCGGTGCCTGATGCGCAAGCCTTAGTGACGCGGCAGCACTGTCAACAAATGGCCCAGCACGTCAGAAAGAATTATGGACGTGTTGTTCATTTGGCCGATCTGTAAAACATTCTATTGACAGTAAACTACCTGTTCTAAATGAGTGTTGTTTTTACTTTATTATGATGACGGGTCAGTGCACTTTATACCCTGCTAGACATAACCAGTTCTCTAATCGGGGGAACATCGTGGATTTCCGGTGACTTGGTGCGCACACCCAATTTAGTTGCCGCGCTATAGAACAATCACGTGAGAACTTGACAAACAGATTCCACTCTAACACGGTTGTGTAACAAGCAATTATGTTCTACCGCCTGTCGTTGATTGTGTTTGGAGAGCCAGCGGATAAGGACTTTGATAAGAGCATAATAAATGAGCAAATTGAACTATTCAGACTTGACAGGCATGCGTATTGAGTGTGGCCGTTTGCCGGATTGCTTAACCCGTTACACCAACGCAGGCGGTTGAACGTTGCATGCGGAAACGCAGAGCATGTAGGGCAAGCACAACTAACCTTTATCACGCTTTCTAGGAAAATATTTCCGGATGGGTATTTGTCAGTTGTGAGCTGTATTCGAACACACCACAAGGTTGCGGTGAGAAGGTGCTTTGAAGCTGCAAATAAAATGTACTCGCTTCGGCGAATCACATTTACTCGTCGGGTTGTAATGTCTGCACAGGGATGAACGGCCCCGCATGACGCAAACTAATCCGTGCGTTCATATGACATTGGCCATTTGCAAGTGGAAGTTGCTATTTCGCTCCACCGCAATTCTACGTGGGTAAATGATGCGGCTATAGCCGGACATCTGTTGTAATCATATCTCGTGCATGTTATGGTCATCCATCCACACACCTCAGGCTCCGTCCCCCATCGCCAGCTGAGACAACACCGTGCAGGTAACCACGATATATAAACCAGGCGCACTCTCCATCCACCTCCGACTCCTAGTAAGTGGTTAATATGAAAATGTCCAGTCACTTACCAATTATTGGTTTGGCCTTCCAACCCCCTGGATCGTTGACGACCCAATGTACGCCCGGATACGGAAGCCCTGGGTACTCTCTACATGACACATATTACGTTAGGCGAGCGATCTGTCGAAACTTAGTTCCAGTGTTGTTCGCAGGAAAATGAGCGTTTACCTTACGTCCTTAATTACTATCAGCTAAAAGTTCACATGCTTTACTGGTACATTCAAGCAAGCACTTTTCATCAGGAATGTCATCTACATCGTTGTTAACCTGGTGATGCAGCTCCGGTATAAGCGGTTTGGTTTTCAGTGCACTCGGTTTGAGTTCGGATGAGCAACTATCGATGATTGAGCTATGGTGTCGTTACTGGACTAACAACACGTGGTCGTTCTTAATGACGGGGTTTGCATTATGTAGACGAAGAGATGAGTAATCCGCTTTGAATACGTTTAGTTGTTTCGTTTGCAGAGGCGCAATATTGGGGCGCGTAGGCGGTCCGCCCAGGGCGACACGTGACACGGGGCCGCAATTTTATTACCGCCGTACGTGGGATACCAAACGTGAAGCACAAATTATCCGGATAAACTGTGGGCTGAATATTTCAAAGTTACTGTATAATCAACAACACATCTGCGCCATGTGTCATACTTGTGCAAACGTTCTTCCCATGATCCTCTTATTTGTTCCATGGTGGCCACTTTCAACACATTCACCACAAGGTCCCAAGCGTATATTAGTTTGCATCGAAAGCTAGCCTACTCCTTCCCGATCGTTTGGCCTTCATACACCTATGCTGCCCTAAGTAAGAGTGAGAGTGTTGCCACCCCCTCGGGTGGCAAAAGTAGTTGCCACTATCCACAGTGCCAAGTGGCCCATCAACAGACGGTGTGTTCGTAGGCTGGTGAGAAAAGCTGAGAAAACTGGGAGCGTGTGCGACGCAAAAATGGCAAGGCGGCCTCGCATCACCACGCATGACTTTTCTGCTTGTATGGTTACTCGTGAGGTGTCCAGAAGCTACGATCTAAGCATTCGTAAACTCGCCCAGCATTGCTACACCACCAGACATACTGTCCATAGGGCTTTGAAGAAAAGGAAATTCCGGAAGTATAGCGCCCATCAAGTGCAGGTTATAAACCCACGTGATTCGGATAAGCGGCTTCATCTTTGCCGCAGGTTTTAAGTGCCATGGGCATCCATTCAGTTCTTTTTACCGATGAGGCTGCTTTCCCTTTGCACGGTGCGGAGAAGCAACAGTTTTGCGCAATGTGTAATCCACGTCGGTGCAGCGCTTCACGTATACGACATGGCGCAAAGCTCATGGTTTGGGCTGGGTTAACTGACCAAAAATTGTGCTACCATTTTGCTTTTCGGTATTGTAAGCGGTAGGTTGTTGTTTCGCAGTACTAATGTCTTACGCTTTCTAGCATACTCGTACAAGAAATTACAGGAAAAGTGCCATTCCGAAACTGGAAGCCGCTGGGTTATTAGGTACCGTTTGCTTGCAACAAGATGGCGCAACTGCACACTATGCACAAACGGTACGGGATTTTCTCAAGCATACGATCTCTTACCTTTGTGTCGGGTGGGGACTACATATAGAGTGGCCTGCTCGGTCAACAGATTTGAACCCTGTGGATTTCTTCCTCTGGGGTTACTTGGAATAGCGTGTTTACAAAACGAAGCCTAACTCTCTTGAGGCTTAAAGTAATTGAGTAAAAACTCATCTTGTATGTTCCTCAACGCAACTCCCTAGCCGTTCAGATTAATTCTGTTGCCCAAGAGAACATCTTGGCTGGGAAATTTTCTTGGTGAATGCAGGCTACGTGTAACGACATTCGGGATTTGTACATAACAATCCGCTTAAACAAGATCAGCTTGAATCTCCTACTCGTCTGGTTAACCTAGATGCAGTCTTACTCTCTCGGCCAGGTAAGGCGCGGTCATTGTTCTCATGAACAGTGTACTTGAGAAAAATGAAAGTAATACTGGTAGATGAATTTGAATTTCTTAGGGCCAGAAATGAGATACAATTCAAAACAAAATGAAACTCAACTGATAACTCTCTTGAAAATCAACGTTGCTCATTTTCGTCGGTGGATCCCATTGCAACTCACAACACTTTCTTGCCATCAAATTTCTGTTTTACCTCCATGATCTTTGTCGCGAATTTTTTGTACCCATTGAAGCACTACATGCTGAATGGTCCACAGAGTTCGCTGACATGAATTGCTGGATCATTTGGGGGATCCCAATATGTCCATTCAATTAATGCGCGCGTTATCGCACATGTGTACACAGTAACCATTAGTAAACACCAATGATCTTTTGACTTATTTTCCGAAGGCGTTTGCGGTACGTCACATGTAATATAATGTACTACCGGCAAAAATCGCATAGCGCAGCCAATTTAAATTATCTGCCGACTAAGCACTTATTGGTCGCGGAACAAACGTAGAGATCGCCGTAGCACCGTTTGTATTAGGCCCAACCTAACTGTTCTAACACTTTTACCACATGCCTCTGACAAGTGTAAGGAAGTAGTGATTGAAAGTTTGCCCGAATTTCACAAAACCGTCCTCAAAATTTCCATGGTAGTTGCAACGGCGGTGTTCATTATGATTACCACCACCGTTTTGTTTTACTAGAGTCCATCGCGGTCCACCAGAGAATAATTCCCGCGTTAGGACATACCGCGAGTTGAAACACGACCAAGAAAATTGCGCGGAGCCAATTAATACGAGCAGCAGTCATTTACGTTACCTAAGTCAATGATACGCACCATCTCGCAAGTGATTTCGATCAACATTTGCCATTATTCCAGGGTTTAATGTGTTGCTTGTGCAACGATCGCAAGCACGTGCAAACGTAACCGTGTTGCACTGCGACCATCAAATGTAAGGACAAACACAATAGAGGTACTTAAAGCACGAGAACATCACGTGTAGGTATGGTGGCCAGCCGTTTTGACAACTGCCCTTGCTTGCGCAGCCCACGTCATCACGTGACTGCTCATCACCGCTAACGCCGCAGGCGAGGCTGGGTTGAAAAACTAGGGAGCAGCTGAACACATATGGGCCCTGTTTTCGCACCACTGCAGCGGATGCGAATACGGGTTTTTATCAATCCTTGTTTACGGTGCCGTTAAAGCGCTTAACTTAAGAACATTCGTATAAGCTTTCTTCTTCTTAACAACGTAAATGCACCACCGTTTCGTTGGTCGACATACCAGCTAAACGGAAAACTTCCACAGTAGGGCAGTTTTGCAGTTTACAACAGCCTGAGTTCCTGGGCCACGGTGGCGCCCTTCATGTACGAACTCAACAATCATCCTTCCCAGTTATGGTAGACGCGCGCGAAAGCTTGTTCGTGGGAACCAGGCGTTGTCATAGCTGTGGGGCGTTGGCCACCCAAGAGGTGTATGCAATTTCCTGCATGCATCTGCTGTCACACCTGTGCCTGGACGCTGTCTGAATGCGTCAAGCTCTAGCTTAACTGTATAACGGGAAAGTTTGACTAAGTTATGGGTGAATTTGGCTGAAGTATACGGCTGCTTGTTTGCATTGTGGAAATGTAGCATACTTTAAGCAGAAATTAGCTCACTTGATCACCCAATAAGTTTCTTTATTCTGCGCTTCTAGAATCAACAGACCTGGAAGCAGTCGTAGATTAACTGGAGCGAAACATGTAAGGGTTTCGATAAACCACGTTTTTACACATCATCTAGCTTTAACTTCATGATTGCGAAACTACATGGTGTATGTATCACGGAGTTTGTCACAGGTTTATGTTCCAAGGTATATAAAGAGCTGTCGACGGATTACTTTTAGATTGATGTTTTCCGCTTTTGACCATTGTAATCCGTGCGTGCATTCACATCGAAGAACCTTCCCTCACAGCTGTCAGCTAAATCCTGAAATGACCCTTGTTCCTACTTTGCAGGGACTTTTTTGATTCCCTACTTTATCTCTGTTATCGCGGCTGGTATTCCGCTGTTTACTCTTGAAGTTACTTTGGGACAACTGACTGCTCAAGGGGGAATCATCGCGTGGGATATTTGCCCGTTGTTTCGTGGTGAGTTGAGCATTTTTTATTGTTGGCTAACATGTTCTAAAATAGACGAACCTCAACTGTGTCACCTGGTAGCCCATTCTAGACGGTTGCACAGGTAGTTAATTGTTGCCGAGGAAAACCAGGTTGATTAACCAGTAACTTCAGATGTTCGCAAAATAATGAGGAACTTTAATTGTCGTTCATTTAGCGGGGAGCACCAATTGTATGGGGAAGATTGTGACAGTCAGTCTCAAGAGTACTATTCCATGTAGACTTATTTCCCTGTCGGTTCAGCCACTGGAGCCGTAATTGAGTTGGATAAATGCTAAACTTTACCTTCCTCGACCTCAACGCATTACGTGGGGTTAAGCACTAGTTTGCACTTGAAGAGTACTGCCAAACGCGGACCCGAACGTCGCGGGCAGAGTTTAGAGAGGGTAACACACAAGTGTTGTCTAAAGTTGAACATATTTTGATGGAAAGTAAACGACAGAAAGATACGGTATACCACATGGTTTTCCGTGCAATCTTTCTTAAACGAAATGGCGCCTGGTTCGTTGAACCCGTTAACCAGACTGTGCAAAAATCAGTTAATCCATTCTATATAAGGTAAGCCAAAGAATGAAGGACAAGAGTTGTTTTCAGAATGCGTCACGTGACTCACGCCGGCAAAGTCATCTATTACCACAGCAATTAAGGTGTCCATAAATCCTCTAACAATCCGATGTATTGACATTACAGGGAGCACAGTGGGTGGCGTACGGTTTTCAGATGCTTCCATCATGAAGATAGGTACGCGGTGACCACAGAATGATGTGGGTATAACATGAAGACGTATGCATTTTTAACTCGCAAATTCTACGCATGCAAACGCAGGAACGCAAGTTTGTGAAGAGTACTCTTTTCTACAAATCTCTTTGGGTATTTATGATTATAAAATGGAATCTTAAAGCCCAAACAGATGAGAAAGCAAAAAGCTTAGTGGAATCACGACAGGCAGAATCAAGCGGCTTGATTGATAAAGTTGTCTATCTCAGATGACAGATCACGTGCTGGTTGGTCGGTGAAATGCCAAACGCATTACTCATCACAATCTGCACACGAAGAGGTGTTGGCAGATTAGTTATGGCAACAAACCCTTTTGTTTGTATAGTTCTCGCTGTTATCCTAATTGCAATCGCTTCAGCCACCCTTAAGATTTGTTTCCCAGTCTTTCGGGTACCGTTTAGACACGACATATTGTGCTTTAAAACTATCAGTGGTCCTAATTTGGTGTTCGCTATCAACCAAATGTTCCGGGATGGCAATGTTGGCGTGATTGACGAGGCCTTCCGGCAAATCCGCTGGGGTACTTGGCAATGTGATTAGACAGACTCCTGGTGCAGGTTAGCTGATATAGAAAGTAGGATTGGAACCGAACGGGAATTATGTCTTTGAGACGTTGGGTAGTAAAATGAGTGGTTTCTGCAAGGACCAGTAGGTAGACGGCCGGGAAGTTTCGAGCCACTGCAGTGGAAATTTTTCTGCTCATCAGATCAAAGGAAAAATCGCCTTTGAAGGGGATTTATAGGAACACAGTCTTCTTAAGAACGGTTGTAATTACTTCGCGGTTAACGCGGATAATCACTGTATAATTTTTGCTGAACGGGGCTGGATAACCTTTTTCACGTAGCGTTTTAATCATACGGATCTTTTGGACCTCCAGCGTCTCTTGGCTGCAAAGTTTCGCAGCATAAAATTACAAGCAGCGAATAAGATTACGTTTGCACTTCACGGGTTTGAAGCTTAGAAAATGCTTATTTTGTCCCATCCATGTGGAGTTCCGGAACACACGTCTTCCTAGTAAACCTTCATTTTCCCGGCCACACAATACACCCACAAATGTTAGCTTGCCATCATTTTCGCTTTCGATGGGAAAGTTCAACGGTAAGTAAAAGCTTTTCAATCGGCTTAACAGGTTGGAAACATTCCTGATTGAATCGCAGATCACAAACATATCATCCATGTGTCGACAACATAAATCAAACGAAACTACGATGGATCGTATAGATTTAGGTTAAATCATGGCGAGGAAAATGTCAGAAAGGAGTAGGCCATGGGGGGCCGTCGCGACACTGTCGACCTATCTGTTGATGACTCCATCAAACAAAAACTCTGGTGGACGTGCACTGTCAGATTAATTCATTCATGTTATTCATCGGAATACGCACCCGTTTGAAAGTTTAGTTTAAGTAATCACATCTAACATTGAAACTTTCCATCATGAGAATATTTGTAAAAAATGACTCAACATTTAGATAGAGAGCATCAGTTTGTTTTTTATTTTCATGTATTTACAAATTCAAATATCTTTCCCGGCGTATTTGTCTACCACTGAGCCAACAATACTTAGCTACTGATATATGTTGTTCTAATAAACTGGTCCGTCTAACACCTTCAATTGCTCCTCCACACGCATCACTGTTGTGGTTTGGCTGCTGCCATACGACATCAAGAATACTCAGCAGGATGTTTTGATCAAGCGCTTGAACGTACCTCTGATACGAAGACAGCATAAGCCAAATTTTACTACATAATGGGGTCTCAATAAGGTGGCTCTGGGTCTCACAAGCAGTGAGCTAGCGTCGGCATCCACATACGCATAGCGACTGTTGCAACTCCCAAGGTAAGCGAATTGATCAAATTCCGATAGTTCAGCATTGTCAAGGTTTAAGAGGTCCCAAGTGGACCGTTTTCCTGCACTAACTTTGTATTTTGTTGCTGCGAATTGCATTTCAAATGATGGGACCAATGGGAAGATTTTTTGTTAGTTTTCCTGGATTAAACAAAGATCGACAAATAGCAAAACGATCTCATTCATACATAAAAGATCGACTAATTTGCCAGCAGGCAACACCTCAACATCCGGGTCATAGAATTCCATATGGGAACACTACATGATGGATTCCGCTAAAGTTGAAGAAAAATGAGGAAATTGGCTCCGCGTTGTAAGAACACAACAGGCAAAATGACACGGCTATAACGTGTATACACGCTTGGGTACAATCTTTTCCCTTAACACACGAGTCGCGGGCATCGCTGACCGCCAGCGGAACTTGCTAACGTTTCTCAACTGTCCTCCACCGCTAGATTAAGTGAATCCTGTTTGAGAATGTCTTAAGCTTCGCTTATGTCCGTATAATAGGTGTCGAAGCATCGTTGCTTTTAATGACGTTTTCGGTGATACATTTAGGGTTTCGGGTGATGGGCAATCCACTCGTTCTTGTTCTGGGCTCACAACCTGTCGTCGTACTTGATCCAAACGACGTCGAACTATTCCCCCGTCCTCCAGCTTTTCTCTACTGTACTACCGAATTCCAGACTATTGGTTGACCACACCCTGTTTGCTTGTCACGATAGCTATGTTGGCCAGGCCATGGGCAAAGGGAGGTGTGATGCCGAGCGAATGCGTTAATACTATTTTAGAGCAAAAATTGCTCGAGCCAGTATCTGCGATAACTTCACATGGTATATCGGAGGTAAACAAGCCATCCTTTTAGATGTGCACAGTGGTCAACCCAGAGTTGAATGTAGTTACGTGGGCTTCGATCCATTTGGGATGTGCGTCTACTACAACACGTACCGTGGGACTATCGATGGGTCCACGGAAGTCAATGCATATTCTGTCTTACGGGCGAAAGCGTCATTGACATGAAGACACTGGCACAGACGGTGGATAAGCTATATTCGTTTGACTCCAAAGGTACACCGCAGATATAGTTGCATGTTGTTGCTGTCGACTGTGAATTTCCTTGGCGACCCAGGTGGAGTTCATGCAGGGTTGTTTGACGATGCTGTTTGTGAGCAAAAACACAAGTGCCCCAATGTAAAAATGCTTCAGTCCAAATTTTATACCGTGTAATCTTCTTTAGACCCTCGTCTAATCTATGTGGCCAGACACTTAGAATAAAATCCCACGCAGTTCAAGGTCACTCTTTGTTTCCGACCTTATCTTCGTTGCTATCAGTGAATGCGAATCATCCAACTAATACAACACTTACACTAGTTCCCTCAAAGCTACCATGTGGCTAAGACATTTCCACAAAGGAAGCTAATTGAGAGCGTTGTCACACTGGTTGTTCTTGTCGGGGAGTTATTTCCATTCATACTGATAACCAGCTAGTAGTAGGGCGCAGCCAAGTACAAGAGCGATGGCATTTGTGTTATGGATTTTGTTCCGCTTATAATTCGGAGTTGTGGCTTGTGGTTGGTATGTATTTCGACCTTTTACCCAAATATGCGTTGGTGAAAAGGAACAAGCCTAAAGAAGACCGCCGAAACTTCCTTATTAATTTGGGTGCAATTTCGCTTGAACTGTTATAAGGTCCGACCGCCGAATGTTTACTCCTCTCGCTTCAAGCTGTAACAAGGAGTCTCTGATTCCGTAGCGTGATGCGTCATGTCGACTTCCTTTAGTACCGTGATTTATGGTGGTCAACACCCAGTGCTTGCGTGCTTCAACGTCATGTACTCTCCGGGGTCAAAATAGTCCACAGCCTTTGGACTGACCAATGCATTTTAGTCCAGCGATAAACCAATTCCTCTGTCTCAGACCACAGCCACTATGTGCTCTTGCATAACAAACAACGTACAGAGTGCGCAGTACGAGTGACGGTGGACTAACCTTTAAGTAGTGGCTAAGTCTACCCCGAAACGACCTTAATTCTTTTTGTTTCCTTAGATGTGTGTTGGAAAGAAATGGCTATGTCTCTCCTCAATCGATTTTATTCCCTCTGCGCTAATGTGTAAACCCATGTAATGGACTTTGGGTCCCAAGGATACACATTCCTCATCTTTCCGCCTCAAACCATTCCCCTTCAGGCGGTCTAAGACATCTCGCATTTTGTAGATGTTCGTCACTTGTTACTCCCGTAGCCAGGATGGTTATTGGCATCCGGTTCCGAGGTGGTAGTCACTGTCCAGTCCAGGGGGACATGCACAGGCGGCCTGAGCCTAGAGAGTGACCATGGGTGGCTTGCGCTACATCAGCCACAGCTTCATCCATCACCCACTATCTAGTTTAAACTTGAAGGAATACGACCGAGTGGCATGTGTATGGGTGCCAGGTTTCATCAACGAA